TGTAAAAAAGGCAACAGAAAATTTTCATTACTCGTTTGTTTAAATAAAAGACTCATTTCAATAATTCGTAATTAATAGAATTTCATAAACATTCCACTGGAGAAGCATAAAGAAATGACTGTTCTAATAACAGGCTAAATTATTAACAGCCGGCGCATTTCACTACACTTCTCGAAAATGAGAAAAGATTAGTTTTCGTGTACAAAAATACATATACAAGTATCTGATATATAAATAAATATGTTCAGTTCAATCGTTTTTTTAGTGACTTTTGAAAGTATGCCTTTTCATGAAGTAGCTAATCAGTTTATTAAACATTTAATTTACTTTAAATAAGGTTACGCCAGTGAACACATAAAACAAATGAATTGATTACATATACATATATTCAAGATGCTGAGTCTTTATTTAAAAAAAGGAATTTTTTCTAATCAAATTAGTCTCAGGAGAGCAATAAACATTAAGGTCGTTGGAAAAAGAATTTGCCTATTAAAAGTAAAACAACGTTGCCAAGCCGACAGATTGTTTCTTTTTCAAGGCAAGCCTAGTCTACTCAATTTTTTAAACAATAATATTAACATGTTTCTAATGAAAAATATATATTTCAATGCCAAAGCACCAACGATTGCCGCCTTTTTTATCTTGACAGTGAATAACGGAGAGTGAGTAAAGTGTTAAATATAGTTTTGATTACTTATTTTTATTTTATAAAGAACCTTTGACAGCTTCTACGTAATTATTTATGTATCTTAAAATACTATCGTTTACTCATAGAATAGTGACAATAGTTGCATATAATCAAACAGTCTAGAACTATAGTTGAAGAAATACAGATGATTCCAAAGATTTTAGGAATGCAGCTGGCTGTTATCTTTTATGGGGCATTCCCACTTCTTTATACAAGTATGTAAATGTAAATGTATCCGAAAAAACTGACCGTCTACTATAAGGAATGACACCTGTATGGACATACTCGTATATATATACGCACATTGTTTGCATTTCGTGTGCATCTCAGAAAGCTGGCTCGCTGCCTCGAACTCAATCTAAATGTCAGCGCTAGGATTGCTGTCTGCAAGCTGCCTCTGCCTCTTGCCTCACACCTTCTTTAATCCCTGTACCAGGCATTGGACGTGTCCGCCCGTCTCTGCATCTGTGTGCGATTTATAAGCGTAACTAAAGCTTAATCACGAAATCCTGTGGGTAATATTTTTGTTTTGTTTTTGTTGCCCGCATCCTTGCAACCACTTCGTGTGCGTGTGTGTGTGTGTATGTGTGTGGCTTTCAACTTAAGCTGCATTACATGAGGATTTCATTTCGTGCACTGGCACTAGCATCATGTCTTGCTAATTCTACTTATACTAGTGGCTTCGACAACAGCAATGGCGGCGGCGCACGTCTTTCCGATATTAATATTGCCTTCCGTGCACCTCGAACATGAGCATGAACAATATCATTATTATTACCCTTATCCTGATCATTATTATCATCTTGATGCCGCAGTTTTAAATCTAATGCTGCTAACATTGCTTGCCATGCATCCCATGTGCCACGATTCTTTGTTTTAATTAATGCAATGCCGCACAGTGGTAGCAGAAATCAGCTATTCAGTTTGCAGTCAGAAATGAATAGTTAACATATAATTTACTTGTAAAATTTTAGGTTTAAATTGCATAATAATTTCAATTACAAACGCAGCTAAATAAGTACAATACATCTATTAATATTAAAAATTGTGTACAAAATATGAAACTATTTGTTTAGTATATATTTTTGAAATGAAATTTTGTAGTTAAGGTATACGGAATAGAAATGAGTCTGAAATGATTTGAATATATTTCATGCTGATTTTGAATATAGTCATAACCGCAAATTATTCATTGATTTAATTGTAAGACTTTCATTTTGTTGAATTTTAAAAGGAACTATAAAAGACATTTCCAACGCTCAGAATTCTTAAAGTCCATTAAGTTGAAAGATCCTGGTTATACTCATATCAGCTTAGTTCGAACGTAACAATCACCCGATATACACATTCAATGCTTAAGTTTGCAGAGAAACATATACGTATTTATTCATTATTATTTATTTAACTTATTGGCAATGTTTTGTCATTGTGTTTTCTCTTTTTTGAAATTTCCTCTTTTGTTTTCCATTTATTTCCTATTTCTTTTCAAAATATGCCACTGTGCTCTGAACATAGTTGTCTGCGCTAAGAATGAATTATTTACCGTAAACTGCTAAGTTAAGCTGTAGTATTTTTTTATTTCTCTGCCATTGCTAATCGCCTGCCCTGTATTGTGTTTTATCTATGTGTGTGTGTGTGTACAACAGGTTGCACATTGTCATTTGCTAGGAATAGGACTCAGAGTCCCTCTGAACGCACTACTTGCCGCAGGCAGCTTTTATCTACCAGTTCCGTTGGCGCTTGTCGGAAGTTTTGTATTGCCATTATAACGGATTTTGCGTTCGCGTTTGCGACTTCCAACAGCACCAACAACAACAAAAAAGCAACTAAAATGACAAGTGTAACAATAAGTATTTACAAGAATGGTGACTACAATTACGAACATCAAGGCACTTAAGCTTTTTGGCACAGCTTTCAATAATTAGTTGACTGCTGGTGTTGTAGGCAAACTGTTTTAAGGTAATATCCAAACAAGAAAGAATTTATAGTCAATCCAAATCATGAATTAAAACAAATATATAGTATACTGTACTGGATGTTGCACCTTGTGGGCGTAGTACTGCATGGAAATTGTTTCGCTAATAACTTTTTTTTAGAATTGACCATTTTGGATATTTGAAACAAAAGTAGATAATTGTATAGAAATTGCTTGTGAAAAAATTGGTTAATGTAGCTTTGGAAATGAGGACAATATTGACGAAGTTTTGTAGCGGGAGAAGAGAAAAATAATAATAATATGTCTAGAATAATTATAGCAATTTACAAAAATGTAATAAAGAAAAGAAAGTAAACAGCTGCGGCAGAGCTTACATTTATGGCTATAACTTCCTTTAAAATTGACCAATCACGATGAAACAAAATGACTTACTTTGCAAAATTGTATTGAAAATTTCCAAGAACTACAGGAGTTATGGAAATCACTAATTGCGGGTATCTCTAGGTCTTAGAGTCTCTGAGATATAGATGATGGCGAATCAGTTTTATTCCCAAAAACCCGACCCGATGATGATAAACTCTTTTTAAACCATAATTTCTTAATACAAAAATATTCATTGAAATAAAATCTCTTGACATTATTTTAATAACTTATTTAATTAAATATTGATTTAAACGTATAACGTCAAAAGCTTCACAAAACATGTCTTCGAAATTATTTTTGTTCAAATTGGACACTGAATTTGGTACACAAAACTTGTATTTGTTGAGAGAATAAAATTTGAGTTTGAAACCAATGCCAATACTCTCTTGAAATGTTATATATTTATATGTATATATATACTACATGTATTTAATTTGATACTCATGCTCTATATTGCAGAGGGAATTATTGGCGACCTCAAATTTACTTAAAGGTCTTTGTTGGTCAGCGCGATAACTCAGTACAGAATTGGATCGCGCTCGTATCGCAATTGTGTTGCATTTTAATGAAAATGTTCCTAATCAGTTTGTGCTTATTACTGGTGCTCAATAAAATTTGTGGTGAACCGAGTTTGGTGACGCCATTAAAAGAAATCAGAGGCGATTATTGTGAAGACTATAAGGAGGCTACTAATAGCAGCAACTGTGCTTACATATTCAAAGACGCCGAAAACATTTTGAAATCAGACAATCATAGTATGACCTTAACAACCATCTCTCCATTAAATGCAACATCAAATTACAAGTATATGTCCAAATAAAACTGTTAAAGGTCACGAACTTTAGATACCAAAAACTACAAGGACTATCAATACACTGTTCACAATTTTTTTGGTCTAGCTTAAAATGTCTAAGAGAGCTTGGAATATATGAAGTGGAAAAATTTGTTTTTCATGATTATTCCGGTTTTAAAATGGAAGAACACAACGTTAGTCTGCTTCAGAGTGCCACCGAATTAAAACTATATATAAATTCCGGCGAATTCGATACAACAGCTGATATTGAATTGCTAATGAGCGAGGTGTTTCCAGACTATAAGAATATTACATCGCTCCTAATGTTCTCATCAGTGCAATTTCCGCACAATTTCTTAGCCACAAGCTTTCCAATGCTGCAGAAAATTGACTGGGAAAGCGATTTGTCTTGTAATTTCAAACACGGCATTATTTTTGGATTAAAACATCTTACTTCAATTAAATACACACACGCTACATGGAGTAACAGACCGTGCAATTCCTTACATTTTACAAATATGAGCCAGCTCCGAGAAATTCAATTGATAAATGATCCATATGAAGATAATTCAGAAGATACTGATGTGTTTTATCTACGAGAAGACTTTTTGCTTGGAGCAACTAGTGTAGAATTGTTTGAGCTGAATGGATTTTCGAGCCTTGTTATTCCAAATAATTTATTCAACGATCAACAAAATTTAAAGTCTTTAATATTGGCGGACATACAGAATCTAACGGAATTGCACTTCCAACATTTAACGAGCCTCAAAAAACGGGAGTTATCAAATGTTCTTAGTTATGGCCAGATCTTAAGGTTTGTAGACTCCATAAATATAAATGAAATATATAAATTTGTTGGAATTTGTTTTCGGATTTCTTAATTTCCAAAATTAGTTTACCATAGCATTTATCTTTTATAGATGCCCAACCTTAATGGATAACGTGGAGTATCTCAACATAAGCATAAAATGCAGCAAAGACCCTATATCGGATATATCATATATTTCTTCGAACCGGAAATTAAAAATAATTGACATTCCCATTCATTACAATATCTTAATGCACTTTATTCCTAAATTTTATGTATGCAGCCATCACAAAGTCTGCAAGTTGGCATGACATGCCCCAATTTCTGCAAGTGCTGGCTAGACCATGACGAAATGCATTTTATAATCGATTGCAGCCGTCAGAGGTTTTCGAATGTGTCAGAGCTGCCAATGGCGATAGATGGAAACTCCATACTGCGTTTTATCAACAATGACATCGAAAAACTGCCGCTCTACAAGGACGATATTGGTTATGCCACTCTGCGAGAGCTGTACCTAGCAAACAATCAATTAATACAGCTAAGCTCCGATCGATTACCGCCCAATCTAACACATTTGGAAGTCAGCAGCAACCGCTTAACGCACCTCAGCACCCAACAACTACCTGGAACTCTAAAATATTTGGATTTCAGGAGCAATTTCATAACAGTTCTTCAATTAGAACAGATACACAACCATCTGGCATATTTGGATATCAGCAAAAATAAACTGCAGACTTTGGGAGAAGACTGGCAGCGATATCTCTCATCACAACAACATCTCTCCCCAATACAATTGAAAATTTCCCACAACGAATGGCAGTGCGACTGTCTAAACAAGCAATACCTTCAATTTATTAGCGATATAGCAGTGAGCATCAGCGACTTGGCATATACCTACTGCAGTGATAGATCTCTGGGCCGCTTGTCGGAAGTACAATTCTCAGATATCTGTACTACTACCTTTGAAATACTATCGATCGTTTTTGGAACTTTAGGGCTCACAAGCGCAACCGGGTTTTCGATGGTATTCTTCAAGAAACACATACTCTTCTGGATGTACAGAAATAATCTATGTGTATGCTGTGTAAATTATAAGGAATTGGAGGCTAAGAAGCTCTACGACGGATTCATCGCTTATCCTGCTGTGGACTCTGAACTGTTGCCCGAATTTGTGGACAGGCTGGAAAACGAGCCCCACAATTATCGGATGTGCATTTACGAACGTGACTGGCCAGTTGGTTCCGTTATCCCAGATTGCATTTGCAACTCGATCAATAACTCGAAGCGAACCATCATCCTGCTGACCAAACACTTTCTGAATTCTAACTGGGGTCGCTTGGAATTGCGCGCGGGTATTAGAGCCAGCTCACAAGATAGAACAATGCGTCTTATCATCGTCATGTACCCCGGAGTCGATACTGATAACTTGGACAGTGAACTGGGCACATATCTAAAATTTACCATCCATCTAAAACGCGAAGATCCGAACTTCTGGCACAAGCTGCTCTATGCAATGCCACATGCCAAGGGAGAGAATCTTAATGCGGAACTCGTCTAAAAATTACCTTTTCAACTTTATCATTTCAAATTTTCTTGCCTATTAGTTCATTAACAAAACGTTCGAATAAAAATCAACGAATTTTAGCGTTTTTTTGGCAGTAAAGTATTAAGAAAGATAATAAATTCAGAAAGCAAAGGTCAGTTAGGTATTTACTTTAAAAAAAAATAATAACATCAATTTGTTCAGTCAGTTTAAAGTTTCTAGTTGCCCTTTTCAAAAACATCTACACATTTAGATTAAATTCCGAAATATCACACAATTTACAATTTATTATTAATCATGCAATCAATATAAGACAAGATGAAAGCACATTGTCTATGTTACTTCTCTGAGGCTTTTGCTAATTTTATACTCTTTTAGAAATTTATATGATGAATCGTTTTTTTTCTCCAGTTTTTTGATTGAAAGGTGTTTTTGTTTTTCAAAAGCAGCTCCCATAAAAAAGGAGTCTACAAAATTCATTTTATAAGGAATATATTTAATATATTTTCAAAAATAATATATTTATTTTTTTCCAATAGAAATTAAAGGTAAGTAAAAAAATGAATGCAGCTAATTTTTAGAGACTTTGAAAACGAGTTAGAGGGAGGAATAAAATGCAGCGAACACACAAAGTGCCCACAAATTGCGCTTTTATGGTGCATTGTAATCAAAATGAAAACACTGAAAAACTAAAGGAAAATTAAGCAGAAAAACAAGCGCAACAGCTATCCAAGCACTAGACATTTCATTCATTATGCAAGCCATGTGCCATGCAAAGTCTTCAAGTGGCAGCTGTGCTGGCAAAAAAGGCAACCAACGAGCGTTTCAACTAAAAATGGGCGCTGCCATAGACATTAGCTTGAAAACGATTTAGACAGCGAGACGGCCGAGACAGACAGAGAGGCAGACAGGCGCTGGCAGGCCGGCAGACAAAAATATCTGAGAACTGACGCATAGAACAAGTTAGGATGTTGTTGGGTGCAGGCCAGTCCTGAGAGTGCTCAAAAAATAATTTAATTTCCTTTTTTTTGCGACTACTTTACTCCTTTATGTTGTAGCCTGTAGCTTCTTGTGCCTGTTAACATTTTGATTATACTTTTAAATGAAATTTACAGAAATTTGAGTTAGGGAACGTTGCATAAACTGCATTTAATTATTGAGAGCACAATGCCCGACCTGTTCGCCAATTGTTGGAAAGGCACGAGTGCCCTACCAGCGTTAGTAAGCCCTCAGTTGGCCAACTGTTGTGGACTATATTTAGTCGTATTTTGTGCAGAAGTTTTTGCGGTTTTTGGCCTGCAAAATTGGGTTAAGTGCGTCGTCGTCGAAACGTAACGGAAATCGAGGCAGTCATTTTGGCCAGTTCCTGCCCATCCCATCCCATCCCAACGCACCCCACGAAAGTTTTTCCGTACCGTTCGTCTCGACATGGCTCTCTGCCAGCCACCACTTCATGCCTTGGCTCTTTTTTCGAGCTGTGAGTCTTTTTCTTGCATTTCCTTCGCTTTCATTTTACATGAAGTGTCTGCCAGACAGACAGACAGACAAACTGACGAACTGACTGACTGACTGACTGACTGACTGCCTGACGATGTAGCCGACCTGACTGAAAAAACTCATTGCACTCGTCCCTGGGCTTGGATAATCGAAATATTCTGCCATTATTGTAGGGCTTTGCCCATTCTATTGTTGTTCCCCGCATTCGATTTGTTATGCATGTTTCCCAGTTGCTGCTATTTTTACAGTTTCAATTGGTGCATTGTTGTTGCTGCCCAGTTGATGTGGCAAGCACTTTGGAGCATTCCAATTTTAGTTACCACTTTCTGCTTCTACTTTGGTAGCATTAATTGCCTTTTAGAGCAATGGCGCAATTTAGCTGCCTGCAGCTTTGTTTTAAACTCTTATCAAATTAAAAAGTTTTCAAAAAGCAGATGTTAAAAACAAATACACAAAAAAATGAATAGCCGGAAAGTTTGAAGTTTCAAATAACAAAGCCCTACCATAGCGAAAAAATAATAAATAAACAGTTCACAAAGCCACTAATAATACGAAACTGTGACAATTTGATTCTCAAAACAAAGATATGCCTATATTTAGACACAATTTGAATGTCTTCAATAAATGCTGTTCAATATTTTGGCAACTATTTTGCAATATATTCTAAAAATAATAACATATTATTGAAATGTCTAAGCTAGAGATGGCGACATAAGGTCTCCGTCTTTATTGTAAATTTAATCGACACTTTTATGGCTGTATTTAATATTCAAGAGCTATTTAAATAGGCAAATAACATAATGGTAAAAATGGAACACAATTGAGGAATACAGTTAAGGAAGAACCTCTGTTTAAACGACCAATTTAAAAGGACCTTTTATATAGAACACTGCTAGAGCACTGAACCTTGATGAACTTTAAAAAAAAGCATTTCAACTTGTAAAATTATCAAAAGAAACTCATAAAAGTGTGGCTTTGACATTAAATAGCTAGTAAAAGCAATTTCGTTCAACCCCTTAACAGACTATTTACAAACTGCCAATGACTTTTCGCTCCAATTTATTACTGCAAATAATACAAGCAATTAAAAAATTAAGATTTTGTAACTTTAATTTAATTTTAATTTAATATTATTTTAATTCCGCGGATTTTGTTACTAAGAGATGTATTTAAGCAGCTCCTGATTTGGAGAAGAACTAGTGTTATAAACAGACAAAGCTGAAGCACCCATTCGTCATTTCCATCAACTACTTGTACTTATTATATTTTTTATACCCTGTACCCAAAAGGGTACAAGGGTATATTAGTTTTGTGCGAGTGCACATGGAACACACAGAAGGAGGCTTGGTAGACCCCACAAAGTATATATATTCTTGATCAGCATGACAAGCCGAGTCGATATAGCCATGTCCGTCTGTCCGTCTGTCCGTCTGTCCGTCTGTCCGTCTGTCTGTCCGTCTGTCTGTCCGTCTGTCCGTCTGTCTGTCTGTATGAACGCAAGGATCTCCGAAAGTATAAGAGCTAGAATAACCAAACTTGGTATACAGATTCTCCTGAGACCGAGAAAGGACGAGTTTGTTCATTTTTTCTGATCCACCCCCCCACTCCCCCCCTATTAACGATTTTCTATAACTTCCGTAATTCTTGGAATTTTGAACTAAAATTTGGTAGTCACATTAGGTTAGTTATTATATAACCGTATACCAAGTCTCATTATGATAGAATGATCGGAAAGAAAGTTATAGCCATATAACCAGGCCCAATGCACACATACATACATATGTACAAGTACACAAACACGCATAAGGCACGATTCTGATGTAAATGTAAATGTATGTATGCATGCATGGAATATTTTATATTTAATTTAGTTAATTAATTAAATTAATTTAGTTAATTAATTAAATTTAATTAATTAATTAATTTAATTACTTTTTTGTGGGGTGGTACAGGGTATTTAAGAGTTGAGCCTGCTCGACTTTAGCATTCCTTTCTTGTTTTAATTTTATTTTTATTTATTTATTTCATCGACAAGCAAAGCAGTCGATGTACATAAAAAAATTTTAGGAAAATCAATACAATAGAGAACTTAAACTAAGTAAAACTAAAGAAATAAAAAAGCCTATAAAAATGACAAAAATATCTAATAACGAATTCGAAACGGTGGGAGAATTTTATTTGCCGAACGGCCAGCTATACTTTCAGTTGTGAATTTGGCGTAAGAATTTAAAAAACATTTGTACTACAAGTAGTTATACATACATATTTGAAGGAAGCACAATACTTATCCTAATTACTTCGGCGAAAATCCAGCATTACTCAAAATCGGTTGCCCTTATTTCTTATGTTTTTGAGCTGATTTTCGCATTAGAAACATACAATTTAATGGACACTCTGATATAAGCCCTTCTACCAAGACCAACATGAAATGTCAATTTCGAAGCTGCTATATAATTACACCAATGCGTAGGTAAGCAGATTTTTGTTCCCAACACAACAAATGTGGGTATGTGTATGCATATTTATGTGTCCTCACAAAATTACAATATGTATAACCCCACGGTCTACTTCAATCTACATGTTCATTTCCGTTGGCAGAGATAGGAAGGACGCACATCAGCAGGACGAAGGAGCAATGTCCAATGGAGGCATCAACAAAATTGCCTTCAACCTTAATTATTCATTTAACGTTTGATTAGAAATTACGTGCAGAGAGGGTCTCTGTGCAAGCCAAGCACTTGACTGACTGACCACTCAGACCGGCTGGTCGATTATTATGATGAACAAGTTCAGTCATCAGGCACTAATCAGCAAAGAGACTTTCAGGCTCAGACATGACCATACACAGACAAATCAAACGACAGGGGTGTCTGTCTTCCACCTCCACGTCCTTCTCCTCAGTCTCCCCCGTCAGTTCGACATGCGTTCGATTTGTTGTCGGTGCGCTACCAAGTCGCTGAACCTCTGTTCCCCTATGTTTGTTGACCGTTGGCATTTGTCTGCCTGCCTGCCATTTTTTTCTCCTATTTTTTCCAACCAAACAACAAGGCAGAGGAACACAGGACAACATGGCGAGCAGCCGCGTCTGTGGTCAACTTGTTTGTGTTTGTTTTGTGTTTGCAGGCATATCTAACCGATTTTGTTTACATGCGTGTTAAATGATATTTAGGTGACCACATGGGTCTGTGAATTCAGACGCTTGTATGATTTTGGCTGCACTTGCTGTCCACGTGGTTGTTGCTGTTGTCTGATGCATGTTAGGTCAGCATTGCTTGTAATTCTCTGGCGTACATGCCACGCATTACTTCCAACTATAGCAAATGTGTTTACATACATAAATGTTCTGTTTCAGCCCAAGAGAGAATTGTGATATTTAAAATTCTTCGAATGTTTATGAAATTATGGCTCTGATGCTTTACAACCCTGATTTTTTAAACATTTGTTGATTACTTCTTAAGCCAAAATATATTTATTATGTATTATTATTTTTCGTAAGGGACAAATCTATGCAGCTGTTT